ACTAGCTGGTGCCGCTTTGTCTACGAGACCCCTGCTGGAGAAGGGTTTGTAACGCCATAAACCGAGCCCTCGCTGAGCTTCAAAAGACATTCCAAGAAGTTGTAAAAACAGACATATTTAAAAACTAATTTTTCCATATAATTTTATATCTTCAAATAGGAAATAATTACACAAACATGGAGCACACTTTTGGATGGCTCACTGTAAGACAAGTCGCCTGGTATATTACTCCCCCTATCTGACATACACAGGAGAGCAGAAAATTATATCTCCTTAACCATTCAAGGAGATATTTCATATCTAACAGGTCAGCAGATGATTCTGGGTATTAATCTACTCGTGGACAGAATGTTATATGTACCTAGGAAAAATTATTGGCCATAGTACAATTTGGGAAGGCTTTGGTCAAAGTGTGAGCTCCCCGCCTATACAACCCCCTCCTCAAATGAGGCGATTGGTTCTCTGAATCAGGGAGACACCCTGTGGAGTTCCTAGAAAAGCTAAGCTAAGCTGAGTTTAGAAAAGTTGAAGAATTCTCCCTTTTTAACATCGGAACCAACTTTGGGAGAACTTTTGCTCAGAACACTTGAAAGCTGCTTAAGCCAAGGATTTTGGCAAGTACTTTATCTAAATTCCTTTCTGTTGTTGTCTTTGCTATGCTATTGCTTTTTGTATATTTATATATATTGGCTACATCTTTTTCTGTAAATATTTTTATTGCACCCTTTTGACCTTTTAGTAATAAATCTTACTTTCTGAAAGTGTTGAACTGTTTCTAAAGCTCTTTAATGCAAACTACAGAATCCCTGCCTCTGAAAAGCGCTACTGTGTGTGTGTGTGTTTTAAACTTCGGTATATCTCTGCCTGTGGTGACAGTTGTATACCGATGATTATTCAAACCTCATAGTGTTATTGCTGATATTGCCGAGTTTCCTCTTTCTCTGTACAAAAATGGAGGTGGTGGCAATGTGAAGGGTTAATTGCGTAATTAACCTGACCCAGTAACAATCGCTCCCAGGCTGCCGGCACACAGGTTGTGGTCTATTAGCTGGAAAATATTTGTGCAGGGTGCATCTGGGCATGGCATTGTTACGCACATGACAGCGCGGTTTTAGATTGGCTAGTCCTTCACTCATGAGTTTGGTGAGAAGGGCGGGGGTCTGACGCCACAATTGTCACAGTATGTACCACGCATCAAGAAGGTGTTTGCCCAGGGCGGCAATATTTAGGGGCTGCTGCTGCCCCCTGGAAAGAGGGACCTGGTTGAGCAGGAGCAAATTTACCCATGAGATCGTTCTGGGAGGACATGGCAGGATGGAGTAAACAGGTCCAGTCCTAAGAGGAGAGAGACTGGCAGAGACCGACAGAGCCCAGGGAGGAGGACACTTCCAGAACTGGTGAGAGAACTAATGGAAAGGGTAGGCATCTGTTCATTAGGCAGAGAGTGTCAGAAGGGCCGGGGGGCAGGTGGTGTTTGGTTAAGAATGGCGGTGGTAGGGCTGGGGGGGGGGAATGGTTTGTGGCGAGTGGTGGTCGGTGGGAGGGGGTGTTGTTTCAGCAGAGATGGGCAGAGCTGGGGCCGGGGGGACCCAATTTTAGTGTTGCCTAACTGTTATACTCTTGAATGGAAACATTCCCATGATGCCTACAAAACATGATTGCATATGTAAAAGAAGGATATTGTCAATCAAATGGATAATATACAATACCAGTCCACAGTGGTTGACTGAGAATGTCTGGCTAGAGGAAGCAAGCACAACCAACAGGCTCATTATAGGGGCACATTTGTGCTATGTGACTGAAGAGATTTTTTACAAAATCTGCATAACCCCCACTCTAGTCCCTGTGTTACATTCAGCTGTGCTACACTGACTTCCCTTGTGCCTCTCCATATCATGTGATCTATTAGTACTGCAGTGTCAATTAGACAAGACTTCCTGACTATATGATAATAATCACAGCCCATTGGTTTGGGGATGAAAGAGGTCTGCACTATGAAGAATGTGCTGGAGGCCCAGTACACAGCAGATGCCACTCTGCCTCCATAGCTCAACCTGCCAGTCCATAAAACAGGCGCAGTCAAAGAGAAAGTCCAAAACCCTTTCCAATCCTTATGGTCCTTTCACATGGGGTGGACCCGTTTAGCAGATCCACTTGGTCAGCGGGGGATCTCTCCACGGATCTCCGCTGGACAGAAGGGGAATTGGATCCCCATCCATCCCTTTTTGGGGGATCGGATGTTGGCAGGTGTAAACCGACACATGTCCATTTATACCCGCCGCTCCATAGAGGAGAATGGAGGCTCCAATTGGGTCCGCCTGCAAAATGGGCAGGCGGACCTAATCGGAACATCCGTGTGAAAGAGCCCTTAGACTAAGTAAAGTGGTAGCCAGAATTAAAGCAAATATAAACCCAATCACAAGAATCTCAAATATTTTTAACATCGTAATGTAATTTCAAACGTTGTTTTAACCTTTTTTCTTTACGTTACAGCTACAAAATATCTGGTGATTATTTTTCAGACACCTTGTTATAAGTTTAAAAACTGTCTACCCTGATCTCTGTAGTTGCTATGCCAATACATATAATATCATTTTTCCTTTGTTATCATAACTAAACCCCCTTCCTCAAATGTGTGCATGCAGACTGGAAAAGGCTGCAAAGAGGTTGGAGAGATCAGTATCAAAGCTAAAATGCAAAACAAGGTTAAAAAAAAAAGATAGCAATTGTTCATGATTCACAGTGCTTCAGCAAGCTAGATTTCACATAAGGCTACTTTCACACTGATCCGCTGCAAAAACACAGCAAAAACGCATAGGCATTTCTACCGTTCCTTTGCCGCACTTTCTGAGCATTTTTTTAAAAGGACAAGAGACTTAAAAATTGCTCCAAAAACGCTTCCCAGAGGTGCTTTTCAAGCGTTTTTCATTGATTTCAATGGAAAGAGGAGTTTTTAGGGATTTTTTTAATGCACCAAACATGCCCTAAAGATTCTGCAAGCAGGAGTTTTGTACATCGCACAGCAAGCGCAACTCCTCAGTGTGAAAGTAGCCTTAGGGTTTAGAGCATTTGCATGCATGCATGCTAGTTTGCCTGGACATACCTTTCAACAGCTTTCGTGATGCCTGAATACCAGGGTGCCCCAATATGCAAATACTAACTTGAGAAGTAAAGGCTGAGACTTAGGTTTCCCCTTTCACTTTTCCACAACTTCTTATTAGACGGTGAGACAAAAATCATACTAATCAATCAGAATTGGTAGAAGGCTGCTCTAGCCCCAAACGTTTCGTTCTTGAATTGTTATTTATATACTAAAGCACTCTGGAATTTAGGTTCCCTGGGGTACTCTGAAAGCTGTTTAAAATGATGTGTAAGCACCTGAGGAAGCCTACACATAAAACAAACCAAGTGTAAAATACTTATCAGGCACTGTGAGCACATAGCAGGCAACTTCAGGTCATTGCATGTGAACTTAATAAGGATGATTAACTACAGGGAAACAGGCTATTCTCTTTGAATGGAAGTTGCTTTGTACAAGGAAATTATCTTCATGGCTTAGTAAAAGTGGTGAAATTTCACTTTTAACAGTACCGGTATACCCAATCATGCAAAAAACAAAACAAACCTGAATTTTGCTTGCGCACGATTATGTAGAAATTAGCAAAGTTTCCCCTCATTCACTGAGTTCTGGGGATAATTCCCTTGAAAAGTGAACATTTTTTTTTTAGTAATTCAACTCCAGAGTATATTTTTAACTGATACAGTGTTTGAATACATCAATACAGGCAGAAAAAAAATATTTTGATAAGAATTTAACTCATTATCTAAAACAAAACAAAAAATAGTTTTGGATCTACATACATACAATTTGTAGGCACGTTGACTTAAAGCATTATTTTGAGCCTTATTATATTGGTTCCTTTGTTCTGCATGTACACCAACATTCTAAAAGGGGAATGCTGATCAGATCATAATACATTGCAAAACTGCATTTACTTGTTGAGAGCTATACAACCACCTGGCCTCAATATTGTTACTTCTTATAAATCATTCCTACAAATGTATCCTTAAGCAAATGGGGTTTTTTTTGTCAATCAGTTGCAAAGTTTTTAACCAGAAGATCCTGCCAGTAACAACACTTCCTCTTTGTTAAAACGGTACTTGTCTGTTAATTCACCAGATTTTATTTTTATATATAATATATATATATTTTTTTATATTTTTTTTTTTTAATATATACATTTAAATAAAACATATAAAAAATATATTTATTTATATATATATATATATATATATATATATATATATATATATATATATAAATAAATTTGGTGAATTAATAGACAAGTACCGTTAAAACTTAAATTTTTTAAATTTATTACAGAACAGTATGTATATATATATATATATATATATATATCTCCTGAAACTAAAGGAAAAAGGCAATTTCATTTCAAGAGCTGTAGGCTACATACAACTTATTTTACTACTAGAAAAAAAGATTACAAAATAACTGAGCAGCAATAGGTCACGGCAGCAAAGCATATACATAAACAAAAACAATAATAAAGACACAATTTATAGTCCAGGTGGCTGGCAAATATGGTGGCTGAGAGACTTTGCATTATTTACCCTGTAGCTCATGCAGCCGAATTGTGTTGTTTTTAATTTGTTTTATGGACACTTACCTACATAATTTAGCCATACTTTTGCAGTGCTGTTTTCTATCCTGCGTTACCATATTACATTCCAATATACAGTGGATATAAAAAGTCTACACACCCCAGTTAAACTGTCAGGTTTTTGTGATGTAAAAAAATGAGACAAAGATAAATAATTTCAGAACTTTTTCCACCTTTAATGTTACCTATAAACTGTACAACTCAATTGAAAAACAAACTGAAATCTTTTGGGGGGGAAGCAAACATAAAAAAACGAAAATAATGTGATTGCATACGTGTGCACTTTCTCTTATAAATGGGGATGTAGCTGTGTTCAGAATCACTGGGTTCCGGACAGTGATTACTTGACAGGGAGGAGAATTGTATGTAAACAATACAGTTCTCCTCCCTGTCAGCTTGTACACACTACTTTGGATGGCTGTGCACAGCACAGCCATCCAAAGCAGTGTGATTACAGTGAAGCACACACACAGAGCTTACTATGAAACAGCACACAGTTGACTCTTTTATCGCCCCTCATGTTAACCCCTACCTACCAGTGCCATTTGTACAGTGTCATTGCATTTTTTTTAGCACTGATCACTGTATTGGTGTCACTGGGGATGTCAGTGACACAAGTCAGCTCCCCCCAGTGTCAGAATGTCCGTCGCAGTCCTGCTATAAGTCGCTGATCACCGTCATTACTAGTAAAAAAAAAAAAAAAAATTCCAGTATATCTACCACCATTTGTAAATGCTATAACTTTCACATAAACCAATTAATTTACACGTATTGGGATTTGTTTTAGCAAAAACATGTAGCACAATACATTTTGGTGTAAATTTTATGATGACATTTGATTTGTTTTTATTTTTTACTGGACAGGTTTAATAGCAAAAAGTCAAAAATATAGTTTTTTTTCTCAAAATTGTCGATCTTCTGTTTTATAGCTCAAAAAATAAAAAAATGCACAGGCGATCAAATACCACCAAAAGAAATCTCAATTTGTGGGAAAAAAAAGGACGTAAATTTAATTTGGGTGCAGCATTGTATGACCGCGCAATCGTCAGTTAAAATAATGCAGCGCCGTAATGAAAAAAATAGCCTGGTCAGAAAGGGGTGTAAATTCTCAGGAGGACAAGTGGTTAAAGGAGCTGCAGAAATATCTGGCAAGTACTGGCTGTGTGGTACATGTGACAACAATCTCCTGTATTCCTCATATGTCTGGGCTATGGGGTAGAGTGGCAAGATGGAAGCCTTTTCTTACAAAGCAAAACATCCAAGCCCGGTTAAATTTTGCAAAAACACATCTGAAGTCTCACAAAAGCATGAGGGAAAATGTGTTATGTTATGGCCTGATAAAACCAAGGTTGAACTATTTGGCCATAATTCAAAAAGATATGTTTGGTGCAAAAACAACACTGCATATCACCAAAAGAACACCATACCCACGGTGAAGCATGGTGGTGGCAGCATCATGCATTGGGGCTGTTTTTCTTCAGCTGGAACTGGAACCTTAGTCAAGGTAGAGGAATTATGAACAGTTCCAAACACCAGTCAACATTAGCACAAACCCTTCAGGCTTCTGCTAGAAAGCTGAACATGACAAGGAACTTCATCTTTCATCATGACAACGACCCAAAACATACATCCAAATCAACAAAGGAATGGCTTCACCAGAAGATTAAAGTTTTAGAATGGCCCAGGCAGAGCTCAGAGCTGAATCTGATCGAACATCTGTGGAGTGATCTAAAGAGGGCTGTGCACAGGAGATGCCCTCGCAATCTGACAGATTTGGAGTGTTTTTGCAAGGAAGGGTGGACAAATATTGCCAAGTCAAGATGTTCCATGCTGGTAGACTCATACCCAAAAAGACTGACTGCTGGAATCAAATCAAAAGGTGCTTCAACAAAGTATTAGTTTAAGGGTGTGCATACTTATACAACCATATTATTTTAGTTTTTTATTTTTACTTCCCTCCACCTTAAAGATTTCAGTTTGTTGTTCAACGGAGTTGTACAGTTTATAGATTGTATTAAAGGTGGAAAAAGTTCTGAAATGATTTATCTTTGTCTCATTTTTTTACATCATAGAGACGTTACATTTTAACAGGGCTGTGTAGACTTTTTATATCCACTGTATCTACTGGTACTGGTGTTCTGTTTCATTCTTTTGACTAAATCCAAACTTCAGGCACTTATAAAACTCCTTGTGATGAAATTGTGTTTCCAAAAAAAAAAAAAATTCCAAGTCCAACTAAGCAAAAAATGTGTATTAAGCTGAGGCTACATTAAAATGCGATATTTAAAATGTTCTCTGACTGCACAGATTTACTCAGCAAAGGGTATGTCAGACCACTGAATGGAGACCACTGCTCTTAAAGTGGTTGTAAACCCTTACATATACCCAGTGAAGTGACTGGCCTCAGGTGACACACAGAGATGAAACAACTCCGACACAAGTTGTAACTGTCTGTATATCTACATACCTCTGTCCCCTAAATACATTCAAAGTTTAGAATTTACACAAGATCTCTCAACTCTGAATAGCAAGGGGCAGGGGAATCCTCTATGAGGAGAGTTCTGAGAGCTGATTGGAGAGAAAGAACACACCCCCCTTCATGCAGCACACAGGAACAGTGCTGAGGATGTCAATCACAGTGTGTGCCCTCCCCGTCACTTTTTTTTTTCTCTGTGTGTCAGGAAAACTTATCAGAAGTGGCTCATGCCAATAGCAGAGGAACAAGGCAGACAGAAATGACAGTGCTCTGGACTGAAACAAACACACACTATAGAGGGATATGCTTTGTTCATATTGTATATCAGAGGTTTACAACCACTTTAAGCTAATATAATTCTTTGGATTTTTTTTAAGTTAATTAAATGCTTTGACATTTTTTTTTAATATGCCTGGCCTAATTTGACTTTATCTGCTTTCTGTAATACTTTGGACAGCAGTAAATAAGGAGTGTCAGAGCTAGCAGCCAATCAGGGTGCACAGAGGGCTGTCAAGAAAATAGGAAGAGAGATCAGAGTGATGACCTCACCAGTGTGGTAATGTTCCTTATTTGCACCTATACCAAATGTTCTGCTTAACTGCCCCTGGGGTCAAGAATCTGACTTGACAGGTATGCATGGTTCACATAACTGGCTAAGCAGGATTACAAATCAATTGTCAGGTAAAACAATGAACATGAATTTGTTTAAATTGGTTTTATTTTTCTGCTTGTCAGCCATAGTATAAACTCTTTAGTGGCATGCATAACAGCATTGAATTTATACATATCCAATCATGCTGTGTACAGATTTACATTTACCTAAACAGAGATGTGCTTGATAAATGAACAATTATTTTATCTGTGCCTCTTCACAAGTTTTTTGTGCATTCTAAGTAATCATGATGTTTTTAAGAGTTACCTTTAGGAAATTAAACTGTATAGAAAAAAGTATGAATTTGTTCTATTACAGAAATGAAATACACTTAGGCTTCATTCTGATGGGTGGTGACACCCTTCTTGCATGCAGGCTCTCATTGCGCCAGTATCCACCCCAGACTGTGTGTGGGCAACCTATAGAGGTGGATGCAGATGCAGCGGCTGCATGCATACCCCTGCAGCATATCGCTACAAGTGGCTGTGTCCTTGCATCTGCTGCACTTGCCACCCCTCTATAGGCTCCTCTCATGCAGCATAGGATGGATGCAGCTGCAACAACAAAGGAAGCCTGTATGCAGAATGGGTGTCAGCGCTCATCTGAGCAAACCCTAAATGCTAACTGGCTCATTGGTTTCTTTTATTTTACCTTTTGTTGAACATATCGCCTGATTTGTTTGGTCGTATTCTATGGGATTCTTTTACTGAACATGAGAGGGTTAAAACAAACAGGAGGTTCAAGGTAACTTAGGCAATGTAGGTATCTCATACCTTAAAGAAATCAAACAGCTTAGTGCTATTATGCTGTAATGGAATTGCTAGCTTTCAATCTACATTTTCTTTTTCTTATGCCGTTTCAATTCTCTTGATATTTGATATCAGCTAATTTCCTTCTACTAATCGCTCATACTGTTAACATTATGAAAGATTTTTTTATGTATTAACTTTTGTACTGCAGGATTTAGCTAAACACTTTTGAGGCTTATGGATATAGGCCAGAATGATGACATAAAGATTTATACTTAAAAAAAAAATTAAATGTCAGCTGCTTGTGCAGATTTAATGACCACCACTGCAGAACTTTTCCCCTAAGGCAGCTACAATTAGGGGATCCTTTATGTGCTTTCACCATACTTGGGTGCCTTAAGGTTCTGAGTCTAAATAGAGTACCAATCCAAAATGGGTGCTAGACAGAGAATTTGTACATAGACTGAATTCAGTACTGGAGTTAAGATGAAAAGTCATGAGAGGAAGCAATGAGCCAGTAAGAGGCAGAATCAGGTAGGAGAGAAACTAAAATGCAATTCCAGAAGGTTCTACTAATCAAGCATCAGCGCACAAGTGTATAACAGCAATCAGTATCAAGGATGATAGCAAAAGGCCTGCAAGATGAAGTTCACTGAGGTTAGTCAAGGTCAGCTATGAAATAGTAGTATCATGGGATTAATAGCCCTGATATCACCCATTGTCTTCCATGGCCCAGCCGTTGTAGCAGCTGATAACTAACACAGGCAAGCTGGAGCTGCAGGCTCACACGACCAAACCCAGAGCAGCAGGTTAAAAATGGGTAAATACATGGCCTCCAGGGGTATTAAGTATTTGAAGGACATTTGTGATACGGGTAATATCATTACTTTTGACAGATTGAAACACCAGCATAACCTCCCAGATTATTGGTTTTTCGGTTCCTGCAGCTCCGTCATGCCCACTCGTCACAATTTGGGACTGACCTACTCCACTTACTTCCAGATGACTTGGAATCTCTATTACTGCTGATGATTTAATCAAGCCCCTGTCTACAGTCTATAAAGCTATACTGCCAACCGTCCATACTGGCCTTGAGTCACCTAAGTTCACCTTTTGTAACATGTTACACCCATATTCAGGGTGTAACATGTAACGTGTTACGATCAGACCAGCCCCCCGCTCCCCTCCAATCCCTGCTTTGACAGCTAGTGGGGGATTTTCTCCCCCCTCGCTAGCTGTCAAATTTTTATTTTTTTAAATGTGGCCGGGTGGGGCTCTGCCCACACGGCCACATCACTTATTCACAGTCTACATGAGAGTTGAGAGAACTACAAGTCCTGACAGCCTTAGTGGCTGTCAGCTACATGTGGTACTCAATCTCAATGAACTACCATGGTAGTTCATTCATTCTTTCTTTCTGTCAGTATACCTGCTTGCTTGTACATCCCATACGAGCAAGCAGATATACCGACAGATCTGCAGGAG